GATAAATCCAACCAAAACATGATTATTACAATATCTTGCCACGTTTCACCGCCTCACATACATTTCCCGAAACACACACACACACATACACATGAAAATAAAAATCCAACAAAATACAAAATTATTGCAACATTTCACCGACATATACTATAGATATTCCTCACAGACACACGTATACATTTACATGAATTAACGTTAAGGTCCAACATACAACAAGCGTTTCTTTACCTACACACTCATACACTACTACATACTTTAACGTTCAAAATGTTCCTCATACTTAAATATTATCTATTACATGGCCAAGTGGTTAGAACGTTTGCAGTCTGGCCATGAGACCCGGTTTCGAATCTCACCATGGTCGATTTCTCAGCAAGGAGACTTCCTGATGTTATCGAACTGCAGGGGTAGATCCCAGCGTGTGGCATCTTTAGAAAGTCCCTGAACCCCTGGAGGCCTTGGATAGCTGTGCTAACACGAAGTCACAAGTCATCGTGGCCGAGGGCTTGAGCGTGTTGATCACGCTAAATAACACGCCTTGAGCGTGCTGACCTTGTTCAAATTGCTGATCACGCCAGATAACACGCTCTTTCCCAGAAACTGTAACTAAGGTCTGCTCAGCATAGTTGCAGTATAGACAACAGGTGGGTACTGTGGATGTTGAATAAACACAAAATGCGCCTGAACAAGTGTCTGCAATAGGGATTGGCTAGCCGCCCTAGTAGACGTTTATCCTCGAATTCGAGTGGCCAGCTATAATACATGTAACACGTATTTGACCAATGTGAACTAACCAAACATCATAACATACCAGTACTCTGTTTGCTTGTTTTCATTTCTATCTTGATTTCTGAGGAAGCTTTAATGAAAGATGCTAGATTGAGATACGTTTCCTACTTGTTCTTTATTATATTCTATCACACACACACACACACACACACACACACACACATATATATATATATATAGATACCTAGTGAGCCAGACAAACCTACCTAGGTTTCACCTAAACGGATCGTCAGGAAATTGGCTAACGAGGCAAAGGAAACACATATTTATAGGTAAAATCATACCACGTGACAAAAAAACAAAAAAAAAACAAAAAACACAACAACCTAAGTGGGGGGGGGGTTAAATATTTATTCAACAACAACAACCACAAAAAAAAAAGAGAATATTAACGGTTTTGACAACCCTATGGGAGCGTTTGATGGGGCAGAGGTGTGCGAGATAGTAGGGTGCCTGCTGCTCCATAGGCTTAATGAATATATAGACTTTAATAACCATCGGTTGTACCGCGACGACGGTTTAATCATAGTAGACAATAGTAACCCTCAAAAATGTGACAAACTGAACTGGTTTTTTAAAAAATTTGGATTTTATCTCGATATAGAAACCAATTTGAAAATTACAAACTATCTAGATATCACGTTAAATTTACAAAATGGCACAGTATCCCCGTATAAAAAAGAAAACCAAGAACCCCAGTATTTACACATAAAATCAAATCACCCAGCCCATATTATAAGGCACATCTCTAAAAATATTGGGTATAGACTTTCAACTAATTCCTCTAATAGGGACATTTTTGAAGCCAACAAAATAAGTTATGAACAAGCCCTAATTAAGAGTGGACATAAAAATAAATTAGAATATATAGACAACCACAATATTACTCGGAATAGACATAATAGGCAAAGAAAAATTTTGTGGTTTAATCCCCTTTCAATTTAGCGGTAAAAATCAAAATTGGTAAGATATTTTTTAATTTATTGGAACAACATTTCCCCAAAAAAAATTGAGTTACATAAAATATTTAACAAAAATAATGTAAAAACTTAGTTATTGTTGTATGCCGAACGTAGGGACTATTATAAACGGATTGAATAAGAAAAAAACTAGGATTGATCCACGTAGCAATCCTCCTACTTATAATTGTAGAAACAAAAACATCTGTCCATTACAGGGAAAATGCCAGCAAGAATGCGTGGTGTATCAAGTGAAGATTTACAAAATAGTGAGGATACTAACCCTAAAATATACATAGGTGCTACTCAGGATAAATTTAAGAAAAAGATATTATAACCATACGAGTAGTTTTAAGAATGCTAAAAATTAAACATAGTACCACGCTATCTACCTACGTATGGAAAACCAAACAAGATAATATAGACCCCATCCTTAAATGGGAAATATTAAAAATGCCAAAAAATATAAAGCAGGCCATAAATTTTGCAAATTATGTACTTTGAGGAGAAATTAGCCATAGCTTTATATGATCGCCCTAACCAACTATTGATCTCTAAAACTGAAATTCTCAATGTATGTAGACATAAAAAATCATGGCTACTAAATTAGACATTTTCCTGTTAATGACTTTCCACTGAGGTTTTTTTTTTTTGTTGTTGTTGTTGTTGAATAAATATTTAAATATTACTTAGGTTGTTGTTGTGTTTTTTTTTTTTTTTTGTCACGGTATGATTTTACCTATAAATATGTGTTTCCCTTTGCCTCGTTAGCCAAGCTTTCCCTGACGATCCGTTTAGATGAAACCTAGGTAGGTTTGTCTGGCTCACTAGGTGTATCTAGGTTTGCTCTACGATTGTATTGAGCTCTTTTGTTAGTTAGTTGTTACTCTTATCGGGGTTTTTTCTTTGGGCTTCAGACCTGCATCTGTGCGATTTTTTGTCGGCAGAAGTTCATGTTTGTAGCTCTTTCTTTTTTTAAAACCTTTTTTTCCCTCGAAATTGATTTGATTAACAAATCAAAAATTCGAGGGTTTTTCGAAACGAGTCTAGTTATTTATATTTATATTTATATGTATATATATATATATATAGTTTGTGTATGTGTAAATATTCTCAGATGGAGTGTATCTGTAGAAGAGACAAAATGAATAAAAAGAGACAAGAATGATAACTATACTAAGCCGATGAGTTTTGTCCTCTGACAGGAATTATATATATATATATATATATATATATATATATATATATATGGGAAAAACGATATATATAATTTATTTATATATATAAAGAACAATTTTAAGGGGAAAGAAGTAAGGCAAAGTGAAACAAAAATTTCGTGTCACGAATTCCCTACCCCTGGACATCGTCAGAACAAATTTATGTTTACGCTGATACGACTACATATATGCATGAAGGAGAGGGGATACGCTAACATTTTTAAATTAATGTTTTTTATTTTTTTTTAATTTAATATATCTATGGGTGTATAGTCTATCTGATTTCATTTAGGGTCTTTTTCTTTTCGTTTATGTTTCTATTGTCTTTGCTATTAAATATCACAAATATATATATATATATATATATATATATATATATATATATATATACCTTGGGAAAGGTATGAATCCTCTTCCTCTCCCTCCAGCTATGGGTGAAATAACAGGACAGACTGGGTTCTATAGCCTTGGATGGCAACTGGTCTAGGAGAAGGTCAACTCTGAATTCAAAACCTGCGGAGGGTCGTTTAGGAACCTTGTGGCATTCGGTGCACCAGGTCTCTGTATATATATATATATTACACAACCGTTTGATTTCGACGTATGAGATTACTTGTACTTATATTTTGTGTCTACACATTTTTCAGTAGGTATCTCTGCATATCTGAACTTTACTTCTCTTTTCGGACAGCAACCCTCGAACTTGAGTGACTCTTGGGCCTTTTATTGGGTAACAATTGGAAGAAAATAAAAATAATGAATGTGATAATAAGTAAATATCAAATAAATATTTTAAAAATCCAAAAATCTAGAATTATATACACTCCTGACCTCAATTCTCTGATGGGTTATGTCATCTTGAATGAATATCCATACATAACAACAGTAATGTTGCTCATCATCGCATTGAATACTCATAAATATAATAAGACATATATTAAATCATACATAAAAAAAATCTTTCCACAAAATAAAAAGATGTCTCCCTGTTTTCCAGGTCGGAAACGTTGCGCAAAAGATAAGGAGGAAAAATGTATCAAAAGGAAGACCTGATTGGGGTTGATCAGGGCAGCTGGTTTGTCGTAGAAGAAGAAGAAGAAGAAGAAGAAGAAGAAGAAGAAGAAAGAAGAAGAAGAGGAAGAAGGCGATGATCAGGGCAGTTGGTTTGTCGTAAAGAAGAAGAAGAAGACGATGATCAGGGCAGCTGGATTGTCGTAAAGAAGAAGAAGAAGAAGGCGATGATCAGGGCAGTTGGTTTGTCATAAAGAAGAAGACGAAGAAGAAAAAGGAGAAAGCGATGATCTGGGAAGCTGGTTTGTAGAAGAAGAAGAAGAAGAAGAGGAAGAAGGCGTTGATCAGGGCAGTTGGTTTGTCGTAAAGAAGAAGAAGAAGACGATGATAAGGGCAGCTGGATTGTCGTAAAGAAGAAGAAGAAGAAGAAGAAGGCGATGATCAGGGCAGTTGGTTTGTCGTAAAGAAGAAGAAGAAGAAGAAGAAGGAGGAGGAGGAGGAGGAGAAGGCGATGATCAGGGCAGCTGGTTTGTAGAAGAAGAAGAAGAAGAAGAAGAAGAAGGCGATGATCAGGGCAGTTGGTTTGTCGTAAAGAAGAAGACGAAGAAGCAAAAGGAGAATGCGATGATGTGGGAAGCTGGTTTGTAGAAGAAGAAGAAGAAGAAGCAGAAGAAGAAGAAGAAGAAGAAGGCGATGATCAGAGCAGTTGGTTTGTCGTAAAGAAGAAGAAGAAGAGGAAGAAGATCTTGACATATTTTTTTTTTAAACCTTCCCATTATATTATTTTTTTAATTTTGAGTTTGGCGGACATGCGAAGATTATTAAATTTTATCGGAAATAATGTAATGGCAAAGCAATAAAAAAATGCCCAACTTCTCTGACCAATTCTCTAAGCGCCACAAGGTAATATGATAGATAAACATGAAAGATAATAATGTAACAAAAAGAAAAAGGGAAAATAATCATGGCTTGTTTTGCTGAATAATGAAAAGAATAGGGGTTCTTAGTACAAGGAACTGATCGAACCGAAGTGCATAAATAAAGTTGATCATCAGATACGAATTAATAATAATAATAATAATAATAATAATAATAATTTTGAGATGTTAGACGCTCACTCGTTGTAACTTTTGTTAGGTCAACGAATGCTCGTTATCACTTCGGAAATGCTCGTTGTAGACGAGACTTTCTAAACGCAGATACCAATAGTAGTAACCTCTTCTAATAATACACGCACAAAAAATACTTGTTCAAATAGTAATCGTAGAATAGTAATTGGTATAATGTTCAGTATAGAGAAATAGTATAAAGAATAGTATAGAGATTCGCGATCGCTTAGACATCACGCTAATTCCCATTTATACGTTTTCTTTACGAAAACATAATCTATTTATTTAATAATGGAATAGTCCGTGTTTGCTCACTGGTGATCTGTGTTCAAAGTACGGTGTCGGCAACGACAATTTATTCCTATACAATAATAATAATAATAATAATAGTAATAACAACAACAACAATGATAATAATAATAATAATAATAATAACGTAACTCATGCTAATAAATGACGTAACGATACAATGCCTAACAATACTAACTTTATTAAATATTGTCTTTTCTTTACTGGAAATCTCACGTTTCTTGATTGACTATTTTGTCTTTTTACGGCTTATCGACCTTTCGTAAGTTACTTAAAACCTAAGGGCATAGTCTCGTCTGGGGAGGTATCCAAAATTGGCTCCGTGTATTGGGGTCTAAAATTTGTGTTCGATCCAAATTTCGAATCGCCCACATAAAAACCGGCTTTGTGCGACATCCTGCCTTGTAGGAAGGTTTGGTAAATACCAAATGTCGTTTGGAATCAGGCTGATTTGTCGAACATTCGGCCTTCGGGCAGAGAGAAACCCACATGTGTTCCGTATTTCAATTTTAAGACCGTCCTGGGTAGGACGATAAATTACGTCCGACAGCAATGCCTCTGATCATTTTTTTTGAGGAGCGTGGAACCACCTTTAATTGTTGGTGTTCCCAGGTCCACCCCTGACCGGGGTGGTAGCACCTGTTGGGGTCCCAGCTTCAAAAATAGTTAACCACAACAAACTGGGGTCAACAACACTAAGAAAGTGTAAAAAATTATTACCGGCAATAAATTTTTGAAGAAAAATATTATTACAAGCAATACATTATATATATTTTTGGAAAAATATTACCAGTTATACATTTTTGAAAATAAAAAAAAAATACCAGCGATACACCTTTGAAGAAAAATATTCCGAGAAATAGATTTTGGAAGGAAAAAAATATTACCAGCAGTACATTTTTGAAAAAAAAATATTACCAGCAATAAAAATTTTGTCGGCAATAAATAACCCATTGAATTTGATATGCCGTAAAACAAAACAAACCAAACCAAACCAATTTTAAGAAGGGGTTTTTATTTAGATAGCAATTTCTCCAAATACCACCTTTTGGAACAAACCTCTGCATGGATAGTTTCCTGAACACTACAATCTTAAATTCTTTAAGATTCAGTCGCTATCAGTCTTTGTTATCGTCATAATCTTCATTTTCTTCTACTGCCTGTTTTATTAATATCACACAGTTCATTTAGTAACCCTCTACCATGAATGTCGCTTGCGCCTTATATTCGGGGAATTTTAAATACTAAAATCAACGATCCATTACAAAAGACTCTGAAAAAATTGCCAGCTTCTTATACCGCTCTAGACAGTAACTGTCTCCACATGTCGTGCCATATCTTCACAAAAATCAGCCGAGACCAAAAGTGTATTGCTGCCAGATCTGGACTAAAGCTGTTCGATAGCGTTTCTCTAGAGTTCATAAGCCTCTACGCGGCCGGATGGGTGATCAGTTAGATTCGCTACAAAATTTTCGACAGATATCAACCTTATTTTTATCTAGACGCTATTAACAATGTTCCCAAGGGAAATGTTCGAACCTTTACAGCTAAGAATAGACATGCCTTGTACACAGGGACGAATCATCCTCATTCTGTTCGTATTTCAAAGGTAGTGCCATTCGATCATAATTTTCTTAAGGACCAGGATTCTTTCCCGAACATTGCAATCTTATCATCTTCAAATCTACGACTAACCATTATCTATCTTACATAATCTATAATTTTAAGTCTATAAAATAACCTCCATAAAATAACCTCTTTCAGTATACTTTAACATTTAGTGGCTCATGGGTATTGGAGAAGAATAGAGTATGTGAAGGAAAGTGTTGGAGTCATGAGAAGACTTGCTGTCACTTGATAGGGTGTTTAAAAAAACATTGGGATACAGTTAGATGGATGGCGCACAGAATCAATCTAATAGCAATAATGCTAAGAAATAACAGTGAGAAAAATTAATCATGAATTTAAAAAAAAAGCGAAGCAGAAGTTCAAGACTGTGTAAAACAACATCACCATCAAGAACAAAATCAACAGCGATAATAATAATAATAATAATAATAATAATAAGGATAAAGTGATGAGGACAATGCAAAGGTAAGAAAGGAT